AGGATAATTTTGAAAATAATTCACATTAAAATATATCTGAAAGAGATTTTTAAATGAAAAGATGACACAAAAGAATTATTCTCAAAAAATACATGTTATCTCAGATATAGAAGAAATTTGGCATTGAGCTGAGTATTGAAATTAATATATGCAACTGACGTATCATTACTAATATTTCCATGATTTGATATTGAATGCTATAACTATTAAATATTAGCAAATGCATTTTATAATGAACTTTGCACCAAAATTTATAGTAAATTTATATGTAAATTTACATTGTAAGTACTAGAATGAATGTTGTACCATTTTATTAATATTTTACTTTTCAACAAGCATAAAGGAAAAAATAGAATTTTTTTTCTTTAATGTTCCTAGTATGTTACATCATAGTTAAAAATATGTCAAAGTCACGGCATTTCGATTGCCTTTTGTAAATGTTGGTTATAATGTAACTTAATAGATGCTTTATAAGTTGGTAAAGACTGTCCTGGATTAAAACTATCTTTAACACAAAAAATAATATACATTGAATACTTTTACAAATATGTAATTGCTATCCGACTATATAATCTTTTAAGGCGAACTTATCGCATGTATTAATGAAATGATATTCCATTTTTAATGTATGTTAAGTTATTTTGTCGAATTTTTTAAATATATTACATTTATTTTTTCTTTTTCGTTGAGATTAATAATAACATACATAGTGTAATAATGCTCTGAAAAATATTCTAAAGCAGTTCACGCTGGGATTAATGATAACATGTATGGAATAATAATGTTACATCTGTCAACAAAATGAAAAATATGAATATTCTAACGCGATATGTTTTAAAAGATACATAAATATTTAACATGAGAAATTATTAGACTATAGATAGAACATTAATATTAAGCTTATTTGTTTTTAAACTAACATATTAACAAATTTGTTTCTGTTTATAAATATGAGCAGTTTAACTGCAGACACCTGCAGATGTAACGAATAAAAGTTGTTATTTTACTAAATGGAACACAAGCTCTGTGATTTGAACTCTAACAATAATTCAACACAGGTTTATTTAGGAGCATTAGAATTATAAGCTAAACATTAAAAGAATTTAATTATAGATAGTGTAAAGAACATAACAAATACATTACATAAAATTAGTAAAATACACGTCAAACACTATTTCGAACTTACCTCGACCATAGCAAAAATAATGGCTAACATGGCGACTATCGTTGAACTCTCCCGCTAAGACGCTGTTTTTCCACCTTCTTCCTGATTGGTTCTTCTCTCTCAGCCGTTTTTAAGCCACGTGATCACACGCTACGGACAAAATCCAAGCAAAACTTCTTGAAAAACTCCTGTAGAGTTTACAGTTTCGTTTGGTTCTGTGTTCGTTACAGGTATTTCCTTCGTAATTGTTCGCATTTCTGTAACTATACAAGACTTTTGTCTGTAAACTTCGAGGTTTTTTTTTACGTGACCAAATTGACAGAACTGTTCCGTGAATTGTAAAAAGTAAAGGGTTCAAGTTGATTTTTTCTTATTTTTTACCTTCCCTTTAAACTAACTCTATCGAAACTCATGATTTTTATGGAACTTCAATTAATACTTTGTTATATGAACAAAAAACAAAACAAAACAAAAAAAAAGTGATTTTGGATGTCTGAAAGCAATTGGATTTTCTCTTATATCTAAAACAAAACCTTGTGAAACTTGTGTGAGTACAAGTGCCTTCAGGAAATAGTCTTAGAAATTATCCTCTTTTGTTATGTCTGCAACAAAGGTGAAATACTCATGTATGTTTCAATACTCATACACAGTTGACTTTCCTTCCATTATTTCCTCAATAAATTTGCGATGTGTACTGTCTGTCATTGCGATTTTTCGATTTCGCATGGTGGAAGGGTGGATTCAAACAGTTGTTTTGAAAAAACGAAAAATTAAATTTTTCTTCGGAAACAAAGGACCAAAAAGTTTTTTAATGCAGAATGTCTGTTCTACATAAATTTCATTTGTTTTGTCTGTTCTACATCTTCATACTACATAAATTTCCAGTCAACGATGAAGTGATTTTGCATGCTAAAGTTGCTGATGTTTCTGCTCTAGCAAATGCATCTTTTTCTGATATAAGGTACTTTTTGAACAGATTTCCTGTGTTACTTCATTTAGTTGATAGGTGATGATATTGATGTTGCCACTGATATATTGCTGTCTCAATTTTGCAGTTTACAATTAGAAAACTTGGATGAAGTTATAAAATCAGCCAGGATTGACACCTAGTGGAGTTTAATTCGAAAACTGAAAGGTGCTGATGGAATTTTAAAATATAGTAAACTGTCTAGAATTATGCTGGCCATCTTGACAGTTCGTCATAGTAATGCAGAGTGTGAGAGGATTTTCAGTGTTGTCGCGAAAACGAGGACTAAAATTAGATCTAATATTAGTAATGACACATTAGAAAAAATTTTATTAGCGAAAGCAGGCCCACATGGCAATTGCTATGAACAAAATTATGAAGTTTTGTTCACGAAAGCAAAATCTGCCACTGTTCATAACAGCATTTAAGAATTAGTAACTATTTAAAGTTAATTCATATTAAAAATTATATTTTTATCATTTAAAAAGTCTTTTTAACATTGTAAAAAATCTCGTGATTTTTTAGTGTCATAGGTTGGCAAGTATGTATTATATTTACATCTATTTCTTGCACATGCTTAAGGCTTATCCGAGTCAGGAATAAATTTCCACATATACTTGAGACCTATCGAGGGCTGGCACTAGATATTTTACCGCCTGATGCAGTTTATGTGGATCCTAAATTCTGCTACCAAGCACCTCCCTGAGTTCTAAATTTTTGTGACCTCTAAATTTCGGGTACCAGTGCTAAATATAAATCCTAAAAATTTTGTAATCTCTTAATTTTGTTTCTCTGTGCTTCTCTAAATTCCAAAATTTTGGTCTTTCCTAAATTCAGCAATCCGAGTTCTGGCACCGGTTCTGTGTTTATGTGAAAACAAATCAGTTTTTCTTAATTCAAATAGCGCTATATGTAATCTATTGTTGAGTATCGTGAATAAAATTTATTTTTAGCATATGGAAAGAAATTTTTGTTAAATTTGTCCTCGTCAACATTTCTTAGAGCATTTAACTTTAATGAACATCAACATAAAAGGTTATCATATTCTTTGTTATTCAATTACTAATATAAAAAAAATTGTGTAGGTATCGCTGCATGAGTCATTACTCAAGTTGTCATAAACATGCAGTGATGGAAGCAAAATATAATAAATAATGATTTGCCAGGTTGGTGTCAGGAATATGAAATATTATTAGTGTAAGATCAGCAATGTTTCTGTGTAGAATATTTCAGTTTGAGATGTATGCCAAGCAGATACGCAGCTCCATAGCCAAATTATTGATCACACGAATATATGCTATTCTCCATTAACGAGCTATTTTATTTAATACCGAAGTGAAATTAAGAATCGGAACTCTCCTCATATTTTATTGTGTGAGTAAAAAAAAGTCAAGTATCCATGTGTAAAGCATACAAAAAAGAAAAGGAAAAAAAAAAAAAAAAAAAGAGGTTGTTTGGTGGGTTTGAGGACTGGATTTAAAACATTCCGGATATTGGATGTCTGGATCTCGGACTTTGTACTGTGTGTGTGTGTGTGTATATATATATATATATATATATATATGTATTTGTACTGTGTGTGTATATATATATATATATATGTATTTTAAGCAATACATCTATTCAGTGTAATTTCAAATACTTATCATTATGAATATTTACAACGCTATTGTAATTACTAAAAGGTATTTCTAATGCCATATATTAAATATATAATAAAATAATATTTTGTTTTATATAAATTTATGTTATAAGGTATTTTCTCCCTCCTTTCCCGTGCCTTCATGGTGCAACTAAAAACACACTTGATGCATATTCGGGAGGTCCAGCATTTGTTGATTCCTGGCATTGCAGGTATCTTCAGTTTCCTCACATTGAAAAATTCTAAAAGATTCTATAAGTGGCACCAGAACTAAAAGGTGGTGAAGAATAATTCATATCCGTCAGGATTAGGTGATTGGGTCCCATTATTCCCAGTCACCCTTTTCGAAGGGGGAGTATATATAAGGTACAAATGAGAGGAATACAACCCTATCCACCTGGTAGGAGTATATAAGGCATTTTCTTCCTCCTTTCTTCATGCCTTCATGGTATAATTGGAAACATACTTCATGCGTATTCGAGAGGTTCAGGTTCGAGTTCCGACGAGGAATATGCAAAATTTTTCACATGTCCTGCTTCAAATAATAATAATAATAATAATAATAATTACTGTACAACATAAGCCATGTAAGGAATTAATAATCAATTTAAGTGTGCTGTTGACTGTCATGGATAAGTATACACATCTGTACACTGGAATACTTTTTGAAGACAAAAATATTGTAATGTATTTTGCAGTAATTGACAAAGGCAATCTTCTTATTAGAACATAAATTTTATTTCTAGTTCACGGTGATAGACAAATTTTATACGATTCTTAAGTGGCAAAATTTTAATACTACTCCTAGCTGGTAAAATCTTCAGAATCCTAATTTTTTTAAAACAATATCTCACGTTACTGAGTAACGGTTTAATACAAATATGCTGTTGCCACTTCAACAATAAATATATTTATTTATTAAATAACAAGATATTACAATATATACAAAATTTAATTAAATGTTAAATATTTATACAAAATTTGACAAATATTTATTCAATAAAAAATTATTTTTTATTTACTTTTTAACCCTTATGCTCATCATTAGGGTTAATTTAAAAATATATATATATATCCACCTGTGCAAAAAGAGTATGGGGTACAAGTAGTGGCAGTCATCAAGTTAATGTGTGTTTGTGTGAAGAGAGAAAGTGAGTTTTGTTCTTTGAAACACTCTAATGCTTTGTTTTATATTAGAAGTATTATTAGTATTTTGTTAATTTTAGGTTGTTACTTTGTGGTATCGACCTCCAGATGTGTTATTTGGTGCTAAGTTATATACAACATCAATTGACATGTGGTCTGCTGGATGCATCTTTGCTGGTAGTAGATATTTTGATTTATTATATTTTCCTATCTTTCAAATAATAAAAATTCAAATGTTAACTTTATGCAAAGATTCCTGGTACTTGTCTTCGTAACAGAAAACAGTGTTGGTGGGTAAATTCTTATTCAGCAAATCACTCAGTATCTATAGAATGTAATTTTTTTAATATATATGTGTATTTAGAAAGAATTTTAATATAAATTTATATTTATTATAGTATTTAATACAATTTTATCAGCAATTTATTTAAAATTATAATTCAGCAGAATTGATTTAATATGTGCATTAATTGCCATATTCAATACAATGATGTAAGGAATTTATGTATAATAATAATAATAATATATATATATATATATATAAGTATACTAAAAAATTCTATTTTTTATTTTACTAATTACAATTTTCGGTACTCTTCTGTTATTGGGATCGGATTCAGAAATGTATGTATGTATACATGTCAGTATGTGTATACAGTATACATGCATGTATGAATACATCCATCCATGCATGCATACATATACATCTCTAGATCCGGTCCTGATAACAGAAGAGTTCCCAATTTTCGTAGCAATTTATTTTAAAAAACATTTGTAGGCATATTGGAAAAACAATTTTTTGCAGAATCTTTTTCCATTGATTGAACATTGAAATTAATGAGCATACTGAGTATTTTACAATGGAAACCACTTATACTGACCATATGCAGTTATGAATAGATTGTTGACTGTTTGTTTCTTGCACATGTGCAGATCAGTAGCTCTTTGTTTTTGCCAGTGTGGAAAGGCACCAAATCCACTTTACAAAAGTACAAAAGGATTAGTCAATTTTTATTAGTCATTTTGTATAAAATTGTCTCTGATGGTTCTAAATGAAAATTTTGTTAATATGACTTTCCAGATACTGTAGCTTATATAACAGGGGTGGCCAAACTTTACATCGACGAGAACAGCATATTATACTTTGCAAACATTCAAGAGCCGCAACTAGATTTTCAAGGCATCAAATATGATCGAAAATTTTTAAATATATTGTTGCTTTCTGTGAGTTCGTGGATTTGTGGTAATTGATGATGACACATGATGAAGAATCAAAATACAATTTATTCTCCAGTATCGGACAGTTCCAAAAACATTTTTACAGTCATTGAGAAGACTATGATAAACGCACTGAAACAATCAAGAACACAGCCTTTCAGGCTATAACAGTGAAGACAGCTTTACAGCAAAGCACTAAGTACAGCTCTCAATTCGGTCAATCACTGTCAAGCTAATCTTTGAACTCAAGACACTACTATGCTATTGAATTCAATCTACTACTCTGTCCGCATGCAGGCAGGGTATACACTCAAGAGACAAAACATTATGACCACCTGTCAATAACAAGTTGGGCCACCTTTGGCACGTCTATCAAGGACTTGTGGCATGGATGCCACAAGTCCTTGATAGATGGCTGGAGACAGATTGTACCAGATGTTGTAGCAACGGTCACACAAATCCGAGATATTGCGAATTGGTGGTCTTTGACCTCTGAGCTGCTGTCCCATGACATCCCAAATGTGTTCTATCGGATTGAGATCCGTTGAGTTAGGCAGCCAGGGCATTAACTGGAAATCAGCATCATGTTCCTGGAACCACTCCAAGACAGTTGTAGCCTTGTGACATGGGGCGTTGTCCTGTTGGAACATTCCATTTCCAGCTGGAAAAACAGAGGCCATGTAAGGGTGCAACTTGTCCGCAATGATGTTCAGATACCCTGTAGCATTCATGGTCTGCTCTACCACAACCACGTGTCCTAGAGACGCCCAAGAAAACGCCCCCCCCAGAGCATAATACCGTCACCACCGGTCTGTATGTGACCAACTGTGCATTGAGGGAGCAACTGTTTGCCTGGAAGACGGCGTATCCTGACACGGCCATCAGCGTGATGAATGACAAACTGTGATTCATCTGACCAGGCAACTTTCTCCCACTGATCCATGGACCAGTCACGATGTTCCCGACCCAGCGCAGGCGCAGTTGGTGATAACGCTTGGTCAGCAAAGGCACACAAGTCGGACGTTTGCTGCGTAGCCCCATATCCAACAGTGTCCACTGAATAGTGTGGTACGATACTTTTCTGACCCTGCATTGTATTCGGCTGTCAACTGAGCCACTGTTGGCTCTGGTTTTGCTTCACCATGCGAGACAGTCTCCAACGACCTTTTTCTTTGATAGCGTGTGGACGTCCAACACCATGTCGTCTACTGCTGGTTTCACCGTAAAGAATCCACTTTTCATAGGTATTAATAACTGTAGATCGCGAACAACCCACGAGTCGTGCAGTTTCGGAAATACTTGTTCCGAGCCTTTGAGCCATTACAATCTGCCCTCTATCAAAGTCGCTTAGATCCGCAGCCTTTCCCATCACACACAGAAGTGAAAGAATGATTCTTCAGACTCACCAACAGCAGTTAAATACCACTTCCACCTGATCACGTGCCTTCCACGTCATCCAGCGCGTTCATCGCAAAATGTATTGCTGGTCATAATGTTTTGGCTCTTGAGTGTATATTCCTTTAACCTACTTTCGAGAATGTTTTCGAGGAAAATTGCTAAGACTGCATTCTAGACTGTTCTTGCTGTGTCTATGGCATGTCACCAAATGTGTGATTTCATGCCAAATCAGGCAACCCTGCATTTCCCTTCCACTTTGGCAACCCTAAACTTGCTTTGCAGGGAAGTTATCTTACTGCAGCTGGGCATTTTGCAACAATATAATATAATGCGTATTGTACATTAAACTAAAAAAAAAAAAAAAAATTAAATAAATGTAAACAAAAATAAATAAATATTAATTATTTATTGCACTTCTGAGTTTGCTAGAACTGTGATTCTTTATGAAATCTGATGTGTAATTTGTTAAAGCAGTACCTATCGACTCTGTAAGGTACTGATGTGTCACCTGCACAATATGCTTAGATTTTATGAACTTCATAGTTGAGTAAAAAGATTCACGGGAATATGGCGTTCCAAAAATTTAAATTATTCGGCTGGCAACTACTTTCAAGTGAGGATACTTTGGCTCAAGTTTCCAAAACTCCATCAGAGAAAGAGATTTATGATTCATTTGTAACGAGTGATCCTCTTGCATTTCTGCTAGTTTCATTTTCCCAGCTGCTTTATCGGCAAGTATTATTTCAGAAATTTGAAAGCCATCATCAATAATGTTAATAACAAATGAATTGACAAAAAAAAAAAAAAAAAAAAAAAAATTATCGTTTTAAAAGTTTACAAATCTTGAAAACCGAGTTTTAAAATCTGTTAGCAGTCCATCTAGCTTTTCTTGGTATTCATTATTTTTTCCTTCTTTAAAGTGAAATGTTTTCTTTTTTAGGTGAAGAAAATAGCTAAAGGATTTATTTTTAAGTTCATTCTGAAAAATATGAAGTTTAATCTGAAAGCTGAATAGAGTCTAAGAGAAATCACATATCATTTTCGATTTCTCTTGTAATGCTAAATTAAGTCTTATCAGGTTCAATGTTCCTTCTTACTTGCTTGGGTAACATTCATGAACCTGACTCGGAACAGAGAGCTTACTAAAGCTATGTTCAATAACTGTGGGAAGTAGACAGGATACACAAGAAGGGTATACAAAACCCTTTATTTTTCTCTATTTACAATAACTTCCGTACTTCAGAATACAAAGACCCACTACTTGGGGTCTAAACGTAAAAATATAAAAATAAAACTAAACTCTAATTTAACTTTAAAATAATAAACGTGGAAGATTGGCCTTATATTAACAGGAAGCCGTATGTAGTACAGAGAACTGTGAACACTACAATACGTTTAAAGTTATCAAGAGGATTAAACCTCTGGCCTGGAAGGCAACCAGCAACCGAGTAAAACTTCTAAGGTAAGCGGCCTGCTTCGACTAACTGCTTCCTCTCTCTCGCTTGGCAAAAAGCCACAACTTAAATACTTGACGTTCGCCAGACAAACTTTGCATAAATACTTTAACGCTTATAATTCTGGCCGGAAGTAGAAAATAAGAAGTGATAGTAAAGATTTAAAATAAAATAAACGCTAGTAAAACTTAAGATCCTTACAGTCTTTCTAAGTGTTTCTTTGTCTCACTTACAATATTAAATCTTGTAGTCAGTCGTCTTCTTCCAGTTATGAATATGGCTTTTCCTTTTGCTTTAGAAATGCAGAAACAGAATCACATAGTTAAACAAACCGATTTACTATAATTTTAATTTGAAAGCCATCTCACAATTCAGTAGAAAGTTTGTCATATCTTCAAGAAAATATTTGAATTGGTGATGATATTTGGCATTTGTTCAAGTATAGTTCGCAATACTTAAAACAGTCCGCATGACATTAGCATACTTTAAATATTTTATTACAACATGTTCACTGTGAATTATGCAGTGAAGGGGTATAAATTGCGGAATTTTGGGTCACTTTTTAAAAGACCAATCAGACCACATTGCACGTGCTCCTTCAGTTGCAATACTTACAGATTTATTAATCAGCATGTCAAAATTACACTCATGTCCATAAATTAAGGATAATTCGGAGTCACGCAGAAATCAAACTCTAAAACAAATATATCACCTGTAAAATCACTACACACATCTTCAAGAATCATATGCAAATTTCAGGAAGTAACCAGATGACACCGATGGTATGTCACAATGACGAGAGTGTAAGAGAGTGATATATAAGGAATACAGGCAAAGAAGTAAAATTGTTCGCAGGTGCTTTATAAGCATTTCAGTGCAATAACAGAATAGTTATGACACAAAGGACGCATTTGGATGATTTTTTATGTGGTAGAATTATTGACCGTCCGGAATGTGGGCGTACCCAACTGGAAGTATCAGACGAACTTGGAATTGCCCAGATTGTCATCTCCAGGCTTTGGCAACGTATCCAAGATGATGGTAATGTGAGTAGACGTTACAGCACAGGTCGCCCCAGAGTTACAACGCCGAATGAGGACCGGTATT